ATGTTTTGTAAAATTTAACCAAATTTATTTAGGGTATTAAAGCTGCTGTTAAGCTGTTCTTTAATTTTGGCCGCCATTTTAAAAAGCGCCCTCAATTGCCTCTCGGCATCTTCACATTAATAACTTTCGCTAATTATACTTTATTCCTATCATTACATATTCAAAAGTTGATCAAACCTACCTCTTTTGTGCTTATTTTACCTATATATATGTAGTTTATTGGATTTTAGCGGCCATTTTGAAAAAAGCGCCCTCACGCGAAAGTTCTCAGGTTACACCCCTTTTACCTCACATATTCTGATTTCCCATAAAAAACTGGTCTAGAAAAACCATATGAGAATTTCTACCTCTCCAAGTGGCACCTATCTCAATTATAGCCTGGTCTATGAGAAATAAAAACATTAATTGAAGATAAAAGAAGAAGTAATTTTCACCATATTAAACAATTGTGAAATCAAGATTTAATAGAGATTTTTTGAAAGAAGCCAATGTTTCCCTATACAAAATAAGACTCTCATGAACATTTTCAGAAACTTAACTTCATTATTTTATTAGTTAATTCTTTAATAATTAGTGGTTGCTCTGTAACATACAAGGAAACTCAAACGTTGTTCCATAAACACAAAACATTACAATTAACACTTTATGATTTTATTACATGAATAAAAATATACCAATATCTATAAATAAATGTGTCCAAATAATTAAAATACTTTATATAACTATAAATGTATAAATATTACCATAAAATATCTTTATTCAGTTAGCATCGTCTTAAGACTAATTTACAGAAATTTATATTAAATGTACTAATTTTGTGAGGTATTTTTTTTTGTAAACTGGTTTTTAAGTTATATAGCATATGCCTAAACTATATGTATAGGCCAGTCTGATTATACTAATACATTTTTTTAACATTAATATTTTTATACTACTATTATTATTCTGTTTCAAAACGAACACAAAACAAGGATTCATAATTATGCATCACAACTTAAACAACTCTATACATATATTTGCTATAACATATAAATTATTTCATATTTGGTCTGTTGTCTGCCAGTGAGTATAAATACAAACTCATGTTTACAGAATTTCAGTTTATTTCACTCACTCAATAATATCCCCATATGTAGCCACTATTAGCTGAAAATGAATGAAAAGAACAGTAGTTAAATCAAAGTGGATATTTCGCAAGGTGTAGGTAATAGGAAGTTTTCGCAAGTTTACAAAAAAAAAAGGTAACGAATACTGCTACGTAATCAAATTTTTAGACAATCCTCCCCTAGATTAGCATATCTGTCACAACGTAGAAGATTCATGACTTTTGCATGAATCCAGGATCATATTCAGCTCAAACAGAGAATAATAACGACGTATTCGTATTCGTTATCGTTTTTTAAGGTTTCGAAATCTGCCAATACAATATAACGTGTTGGTGCACAGTGCTAAACATAAGGAAACGAGTTATTCACATTCTTTTTCTGACTTTATCAATCATATCCCTATATCGACATTGCCTCATGTTTATACACACTTTCTATAATTATAATTATTGCTTAAAGGTTTGCATGGCGAAAAAATAATATATATGTTGAAGCTTGCGGTACACCACGTAAGTAGTCCTGAAAAGAACTGTTGTAGTTGAGAAAGTATCTGAGACTTTCTCAACTACAACAGTTCTTTTCAGAACTACTTACGTGGTGTACCGCAAGCTTCAACATATATATATATATATATAATTATAATAATACTGGCGAGAAAATTAAAAAAAACATTAAAAGACGTTTCTACAAGAACCTGTCTCCTCACTGTAGGTAGAAAATGTATCATCAAGCAACATTTCTAACGTTTTTACAATACTTCACGTGCAACATAAAATATAGCCCTCAAATTAAGAACAAGTAAAATAGTAACATAATTAAACACAAGACTTAGCTGTGTTTTCCCCCAAGATAAAGGTGGGATGTAGAAAATTAAACAATACATTGCAATAAAATAAAACAATTTAACTGATATTTAAACCAATTCTCTGTAGTACTTACTTTCGCATCGATCGCCACTTCTACCTCGTGGGCACCAGCATTTATATTCATCGCATGTAGAGGTCGTTTTTGGTGAACATATTCCACCGTATAAGCACGGATTAGAACGGCATGGATCAATTCCTAATATATATAAATCGAATGCAACGTAATACTATTGTATTCATAACATTGTTACATTTATGTATGTACGCTGGAAAAATATGAACTATTAAAATGTAATCTTTCCTAGATATTCAAGCTGTCTATATACACTGTACATTGTTTTGAATATATTTAATGTCCTGTGCTTACGCATCACATCTTGAGTGGTGCAGTTGATTATGACGTCTGCTTAAATTGTTTAGTTTCTTAAAGGCAAAAAAGCTCCTTGAGACCGGTTTTACTGTGAAATGCGCTATTAAAATAGATGACCAATGACCATTGACCGTTGACCATTGCTTATACCACCAATTGAAAATTCTGATTGTTATTTTTTAAATCTTGTATCTCTCCACATCGTTACCGTTTAAGATTATAGTTTTTATGTTCAGCATTTAGGTTTATGCAAGAGTCCTATATACATATACATACATACTTACATAGATACACACACACACACACACACACACACACACACACATAAAATTTATTCAAAACGAATATTTCGGATACGCCTGTGTCCTTCCTCAGCGTTACACGTATGACTAAAATAAAATAGAGCAATTCGTATTTCATACGTGTAACGAAATATTCGTTTTGAATAAATTCTATGTCTCTATAATGTCAACGTATGCAATCGTTTCTTTTTCGTATTTGCTTATATTTATATATTACTGTGAGACATACGTGGAACCAACTACATCGGATTATATATATATATATAGTGAAACGTCATTGCTAGCAATGGTATATTTAGGGGTTCAATTAAGGAATAGAGAAATGGATATTTACATTGGAAGATAGGCATAGATTATTATAATAATATTTATGAAAACATATATATTGATAGCTGAATTATTTTAGTGAACCCAATGACTTATACTATTTATATTGTGAGTCTTGTTTGGTATCATTTTGCTAATAATATCTAATCTTGTTTACTCACGTTCTGTACAATTTTGGCCAGTGTAACACGTCGGACAATCACATGTGTACACATTGCATGTGGTTGCAATACATACGCCACCATTAAGGCAGCCGTGGCCATTACAAGCATCATTCAGATCTATAAAACGAAGTACACATTTATTGTTAATTTTTAAATAAAATAATAAATAACATAATATAATTAGAATGACAATAAAATGAATTTACCCAATTGACCACTGCCACAATTGTTGACATTAGTTATGGACCGGTATATTATAAAACGATGTAAGACTTCGTAGTGATTATTATGGTTTAAATGTATACTGATATGTACTGTACAGAATTGCAGATAGAAAAACTCAACTTTATCACTTCAATTGGTAATATTGTTATAATATAAGGGTTCGATTCTGCTTTCAACTTACATAGTTCGCAATAGTCTCCATAGTAACAGTCATCACATTCACATTTTGCCAAACAGGAATTGTCACTTCCTATTGCCACTTTACATGTTCCTCCATTTTTACAGTCACAGCTATCACATGGATCATCAACTACATGAGACAATAATCTTGATTGATAAATTGTAATTATCAAAAAAGTGAATTTAGACATTAGATGCGATGTTACAGTAATCGTAGTGGTCATGGTAGAAGCGTTCCAGTCGCAGCCTGTTTTTAACCGATTCTACCACCACCACCAACACCACTTAAAATCAGAAATATAAAAAATATTTCAGAGCATCCCAATGCGCTCTTTGTTTCTGCTCTTTGTTTTTACGTGCATTTTGTAAGATGGACAATGGACATTCAGAAATAAAACATATTTTTACAACCACCCACTTGTGGTATTTTAATTTACTGTAAACGGGCTCACACGTGTCAAAATAAAAATATTGAACACCATGCATAAAGGTAAACAGCAGTGAATACAACCACAAGGCAAAGAAGTGTGTCCAGTTATGGGTGGGAAAAAATGTAGTGTTGTACATGGATTCGATAAGAAGAAGGGCAATCCTATGAAAAAGTGTACATTTGGCTTGGCAGTTATTAAATAAATAAATAATAAATTATGATGTATTAAATTACATGACTGCATAAATATATTTCTATTGGGCTTTTCACTTGTTTGCTAATACCATTCAAATATTGATCTTATTAAATGTTGCACGTACATGTCTCACATAAATCCCCAGTGTAGCAAGGTTGACATACACACTGATGGTTGCATCCGTCGGCAACACAAGTCCCATAAATACCACAGGGGTTGTTTGCACATGGGTCGTGGTCTATAAAACAATCAAAATGGCAATTTAAATAATCATTTGTTTAACAAAAAGTTAATTCTCGACAATAAAACACACTATTCATATTGACTGTGTTATTCAGAAGTATAAGCAGCAACAAAAAATGCACGAACATTAGATTAACACCGTTTTAAAGTTGTGATAATTTGTTGTAACTTACACAATTCGCAATATTCTCCATAGTAGCAGTCATCACATTCACATTTTGCCAAACAGGAATTGTCACTTCTTATTTCCACTTTACACTTTCCTCCATTTTTACAGTCATAGTTATCACATGGATCATCGACTATTATGAGACAATAATATTGATTGATACATTATACTTATTTTAAAAGTTATACATTATATCCGATGTTACACTAATAGCAGGGGTTCATGGGCGATGCGTACCACCATCGGTATATCACTACCACCACGCAAAACCAGAAATACAAAAATAACAAACATAATGTCTAAATATAAGAGCATTGGATACAACCACAAGGCAAAGAACAGTGTCCAGCTATGGGTGGGCACAAAGTTGTGAATAGACTCGATAAGAAGAAGACTAATTAAGGAATAGGTGTAAATGTGGCTGGTGGTTATGATTTTCAATTATGGCAAACAATTCAACTCCAAGCTAGACTAGATCCATCTAAGATAACAGTGTCTAAAAAATAACTTTAGCTAGTTCAAACTTGTGAAATTCAGAAAAAGTCACTTTACAAATCAATGGTATAGGCTAAACTGCACTTCAAATTTAGAAGAAATCAATAAATATTAAATGATGGCGTATTAGAATATATGATACAGGACTGCATAAAAATACTTCTATTGGACTTCTTCAAATGTTCGCTAATGCCATAGAAAGTATTGGTTGTATTAAATGCTGCACGTACATGTCTGACAGAAATCCCCAGCGTAGCAAGCTTGGCATACACACTGATAATTGCATCCGGTGGCAACACAGGTCCCATAAACACCACATGGGCTACTTGCACAAGGGTTATTGTCTGAGAAAAAAAACATGACAATTTCAATAATTTAGTTGTGAGAAGATAATAATTGTTCAACAAAAAGTTATTCTTGACAAAAAAAGACACTATTAACATTTTTTTCTGTGTTATTAAGATCTTTCAAAGCGTGCTCTGTGCGAGCCGCTAGTGCTCGCGCAGAGATCACTGTTTTTTAAATTTTTTATAATTTAATGTAACTTACATGATTCACAATAATCTCCAAAGTAACAATCTTTACATTCGCATATTGCAGCGCAACTTATATCTCCTCTTGCCAGTCTACATGTACCTCCATGTTTACAGTCAAAATTGTCGCATGGGTTCCCAACTATATAATGGAAGAAATAGATAGAAGATATTGTTTAATTGTATTGATCATAGACTGTCAGAAATTATATTTAAATTTAAAATTAAGAGGATCGTGTTGTAAATCAAAAATGACTTGCGTCCTACCCAAATGTTCATGTTTCTTACAAAACTACTGTATTATTTAAGCAAGACACGAAATACAATATATTTACAGTACATAAAGCACAATTTTTTTTAATAGATTAGAATGTTAACATAACGTTGATAAGTCAACCTTATAAGTTGAAAGAGTATAGTGTAAACGATATCTTACAGTTTTCACACCTCGTTCCAGAATAGCACAGTGGACATATACACTGGAATCCACATACATTACCAGTTGTTGTTACATGGCAAGTACCACCATTTGAGCATACATCACCAGCACACGGATTTTGATCTGAAAAAATATAAAAGTAAATTGTGATGTCAATCATCAACTCCATCGTTATTTTCTAAACAGTGCACTGATGTTTCATTGGTGTTTAAAAGGTAAGAAAATAGGTAAGAAGAAACTTGTACATTACTGTATGTATTGAGCATAATGATGAATATTCAAAGTTAATGTTTTTTACATCTAGCACAAATTGCGCCTGTGGAAAGAGAGGGCAGACGCTCACTTTAATCGTCGCTTATTGGCAAGTGGTAATTGGCATTCATATAAAAAAAAAACACGGTAGATTAGATACCTAAGAAATTACGTATCGTAGTGAAAGGAAGTATTTATACCAAAAATATGTACTGTATCGATATCATAGGGCCTAATATTATAATTTTATTATATTTAAATTTTTATTATTATTATCAGTATTACGGTAATAAACTTATCTTGTAAATTAATTTGTAAATATAAATTTTGAATAATAATTTATTAATAAAATGTAAAATCTATATTTTGAATTTCTTCTTAAATTGAATTTTAATGTTTAAATGTGCAATTAACTAATGCCATTGATAAGACCGCGCTCTGAACTGAAAATAATGACGGCTTAACTGTAAATCCTCATTTTGAATAGTTAATTTGTAAATAAATTCTTAAATCTAAATTTTTATAAATTGAATTTTAATGTTTTACCATAATGTTTCTGTTTTATGTTTGTTTCCTGTTTTCGATTTTCGAATTGACGTACATTTTGCCTGCGTAAGCCTGTTTATTCAGGCTGCGTCCTGGTTTTTATAAATGTTTTCTTTTGTATATTTCATATGAATATCAATAAAGAATGACTGAAAAGTCATTATTATCATCACTAAGTGTACCAGCATTCTTCCTTCATAAATTACGGTAATAAACTTATTATAAATAGCTTACAATTGTCACACCAAGTTCCAGAATAGCAAGTTGGACAGTGACACTGTAATCCACACTTATTATTGATTGCCGTCACTTCACAAGTACCACCATGTTTACATACGACACCATAACAGAGATCCTGATCTATAGAATAATATAATATAAGTTTAATATTTTAGTTAATTATATTATATTATTAACTATATTATATATTATTATATTATATTATATTATATTGCATTATATTATATTATATATCATATTATATTAATTATATGTTTATTGAATTATGGTAATCATATCTTACAGTTTTCGCACTTCGTTCCGGAATAGCACGTTGGGCATTGACACTGGAATCCACATACGTCACCAGTTGTCGTCACTTGACACGTACCGCCATTTGCACATACAACGTCATCACACGGGTTTTGATCTGAGAAAAAGCAAAATCTTGATTAAACAATGTTTATCAAAATATGAAAGTAATCGAAGGTAGTACTAATATGTAAACGACTAAAACAAATGAAGGTAAAATAGTTTTGATTGTTAAAGAGTATGATTTAAAAATTAATTTTAAGGGCACTATTAACAATAAAAGTAGACATTATATTTTCTTACATTCGCACAAATCGCCGTAGTAGCATGGGTCGCATTTACACCAGTAGTTGCATCCCTCAGACACACAGTACGCATTGTTTCCACAAGGATTGTTGTCACATGGGTTTTCATCTACAACAACAAGTATTGATACAATTACAAGGAAACGATCGTTATTAATACATCTCGATTTTAGTTATTATGACAATGGTAAAAACACTGTACAAAATTGTATAAAACACTATGTTTGTATCTAAAGAATGTACCGTTACTAAATTAGTTTCTCGTATTATTTACTTTTCATTTTTCTTACTATTATTCTATACAAAAAAAGAAGAACTCACATATCTGACAGGTGTTACCAGTGAAGCATTCTTGGCATTTGCATCTCGAAGTACAACTATCGCCATTAAGGGCAATTTCGCATACACCTCCATTTTCACACGTTACCCCATCACAAGGGCTTTTAACTGAAAAGTAAATACGGTAATATGTGCTTTATAGCAGTACATTGGCAAAACCTATCAATGATGCCCTTAAATAGAAAACCATATACAGAAAAATTAAAGTGCTGTTTTGGATGTTTATTTCCCTAATAAAAATGTTCATATAATATAAATACATATGAATATATATATATAAATATACATATGTATATATGTATGTATGTTTATATATGTATATATATATATGTATATATATATATATATATATATATATATATATTTAACACGTTAAGTGTAATTTCAGATAAAAACTGTATATATAATTATAAATAATTGATTAATAATTATATACTTATTACGAGCGTTGTATGAAATGTTTCTATGATCTGGTGTGTTGACATATTGAAATACTTCCTTACATATTTCACAATATTCGCCTGAGAAACATTCCGGGCACACACACTGGCTCTCACAATCGTTGCCTGTGTCCAATACTTCACATACTCCTTCATGACAATTTATTTTATCACATGGGTTTAATACTGTAAAAATATAAAATCAGGTTACAACAATCATATAATTAGAAAAAAAGAGCAGTTAACAATAATATTAATTTGGCTATAAATATAATTAAAATTTGAAAATATGTAAATGTTGAAAACAGTAAAGTTAATTGAACCCCAAAGAACAAATTTTATGACAGCCTGATTGCGCATGTGTTATACATTAACTACTTTCTTCACTTTAAAGCTATTTTATTATTTTTTTGCATAATATATCTACAAAACATTCATATTATCGATGAATTTTTTACCGTCTGTACATTGGTCTCCTGAATAGCATGGGTCACACACGCATTTATAGTCACAACCAAGTGCAATACACAACCCATTATCACCACATGGTCTATTGTCACATGGGTTCTTATCTGAAAAACGTAAACATGAAAATCACCATCATTATTGTCATTATAGTATTCACACCATAATATTATTTATAATAATCACCATCATTATCCTATGTTATGTTATGCTATGATATACTATGCCATGCCATGCCATGCTATGTTATGTTATGTTAAGTCATTTTATGGTTTTGTTATATTATGTTATGTAATGTTATGTTGTTATGTTGTTATTTTATGCTAGCTTATCTATCCTGATTTCAACCATAGATTTGTTTCGGTTTGGTTACAGAAAATAATAATCTTTTATCAATTATTTAAATTCTTACATGTCTCGCAAGCATCTCCTGAATAGCAAGATTGACATGTACATTCGTAGGTACACACATCGGTCGTTGATATTTCGGTACATGTTCCACTATTACAGTCAATATTATTACATGGATTCAGATCTATAGTATATAAATCATTGTGAATATTAGTAGAACATTTATCAATCGTTTAGTATGAGCTCTGCAATGGTGAATTCAATACTCGGCCTTCGATCACTTATACTTTTACATTAATAAAACACTTTTGCAGCAGTATTAAAATAATATATATATATTTTATTCACATATATTGCTTAACATTATTCATATAAATGTATTTCCAATCTTATCATTATTAACAATGATTTGTTTTATAATTATTATTCTTAAAACAGGATCACAGGTAGTCTCGAAAGGCTCACTTTTAATTTACCGATACAATATCGTACAACTGGTCTGTTGGTAAGCTACTTACAGTTCTGGCATTGGTCCCCTGAGTAGCATGCCTGACATTTACACCAGTAGTTGCAACCCTCAGAAAGGCAAAACCCATCATATTTGCAAGGTGACGAATCACATGGATCATCATCTATAAGTGTAAAAATGAAAACAAAATGTGTCAAAAACTTTAGCATAACCAAGTTGGCCTTTCATTCTGCACCGAACCTGCTCAGTTGAATGCGGTAATTATGAATGGTAAGAATGTTAGGGACTTACATATTTCACAGTATTGGCCAGAGTAACAAGATGCCTGGCATTGACAACTGGGTCCAGTGATCGGGATTAGGTAGCAGACGCCATTATTCTTACAGTCCCATGTTTCACATGGATCTATGACTGGGAAAAAATATATCAGAAGAAAATTAAGCATTGTCATTTACTTTATTATGTGATGGAGTTCCAAAAATAAGTGATGGCTTTATCAATTAAACACATCTTATGCCATGTCTAGAATATCAAATTTTATTTAACAAAAACATGTAACAAACCTAAATATGGTCACGATGACATCACATAATGCCCATATATAGGCACATCATGACTATATATGGGTATACATCAGTTTTTTACTCATTACAGGGGTTTACATTACGTAATTTTTTACACTAGTACCATAATTGACTTTACAAATAAGCAAATAACTAGCAGTAAACAAAATTTGTGTCCAGTGTTTGATCCTTAAGCAGTCGACCGAATGGAAACTATCAAGCTGTCCTGACATCATATCGGATTGTATTGATAAGATGACAATGTATATAATACCTAAAGCCTCAACGAACACATGTATGAATTGGTTTATAGATTATCGACGTCAGAAACTAAAATAATAGTTTGTTAGCTTTATTTTTTCTGATATGTTGCAATACTATGTTTAGCGGTATTTTTTTTTTGTAGAAGTATTCCACGATGATTCTATCTTTGATGGGATTGACATTATTGTTCGATATTTAAACGCTATTGATTTTAGGCCTAGAAATTATACATGTATAACAGTTCAGCCCACGACGTTCTGAGATTTTTAAATTGGCAAACCTGAAATATAAACTTTGTATGCTTACATTCGTCACAGTGGTTTCCTGAATAGTAGGGTGGACAGTCGACGCATTGGTACGAGCACGCATTGTCAGTAGATATTTCTACGCAACGACCTCCATTGCAGGAAACTCCATCACAGGGATTGTTATCTAGGTGAAAATAAATTTATCATAATTATAACAATAGGCCAATTTGGAGAATAAAAATGTGAACTTCAGTTACATACCAAAGCGGCATGGTGCTGACCCGGAAGTATTTTCAAAATCACAATGTATTGGGTCGGATATATATTACCATTTACAC